CGTTAGGAAACAAAACTTCAAGACCATGGCCACACAGCCCGGAAGACCCACACCAGCCATCGTATGCCGGCCGTGAAAGCCTTCGACAATACGCAAGATGAATTGTCTATTTAAATGACAGTTAAAGCAAGTTCATGGGGATAGGTCATTATGATTTATTCCACACAATATGTGAATATAGCCCTTATGTTCAGCTGTTCTTCATGATAATGCAGAAGCAGATTCTTACACAGATTCACACCTGCTTGGGAAAATCTAGCACTACCTCATGCTGCTGATGTAATTTTCTTTTACAAGACCATAAATGCCATACGAGTAAACCAACACCATACAAATGCTACAAGTAGTCAGTTCTGTGATTTAGAGTTGGTGTGAATATTGTGAGTACCTTCTGGATTGTGCCAGTAGCATCACTGATATTCTTTCTCATACTTGCAAGGCAAAATTAAGAACTGGAATTAATCTTAATGAAAAGGTATATCACATAACAAGCACATTTTCAGCGCTGAGGTCTCCTACAGAGTTTATAAACTGTCCGTTAAGCCATGACGATTTCAGAAAGTTGAAGTTATGGCATAAGAGATTTCACAATTCTTTCTTAACACAAAAACACACATATTCTCTGAATTCTTGTCATAGCAAATGTTTAGGATGTACATTATGAAGCAGGTGACTTATAACACTTAGCATATTGGGTTAGATTCATTTTTGGACATCAACTAATAGTAGAGGGGCTGAAGCTGCCAAGGCCAAAAGTAAAAAGTTTAGATTCAGAAAGACCAATTATCAAAATCCAGTGCAGGAGTCCTCATATTTAAGGGTGAGAAATAAGTCCATTCCATGTAAGGGTAGGAGAAAGAGATGTAAAATTTAAACCCTGAGGCTGCCACACACAGGGGACTGAACTGTTAGACTCGTGTTACTTGAACTTCTTCACTATTACAGCTTCTTCCATCTGCACTAAAAGCAAGTATCTATCAGAGCCCTGTCCTTGAATCTTCTTTTGCTTATTGGTGAGTGAAGTTCTGACAAATGACATTAATTTCCTCCATCATCATGGCTCCAGACATCTGGGAATACATGAGGAATTAACAAGGGACAGTTCATTTCCTGCAACCCCTGCTTCTGTTCTTTGAATTGGAATAAGCACTGTGGTGAAACCTTACTGGCTTGATATGTGATCACACCTGCAGCAGCATCTTGAGTAAGTGCTTGATCACGTGGAAGCCCTTTAAAGATCAGGATACTGTGCCCTATTCATGTTTGAATAACAAACTGAGGTAAAGCAATTATGGCAATTTCAGTCTCCCAGCTATGAGCTTACACTTTAGCAACCCACATTTACACTCTCAAGTGCTTCTAGAACAAAATCAAAAGCCAAGTATATAACCCTTTTTATTTTCTCTCTTATTGAAAACATTGCTATCTCCCCTACCGCTATAAAGCTGTGTGCCACAAAAGTGGATACTCTTAATGTGGCCTCAGTTAGTCTTCCTACAGTGTATAATTTGACTACATAGTATGCATTTCATGTTCCTATAATCCAGATAGTTTCCCACTGAACTAATATTAAATGAAGAAGGTACCTTAAAAAGTCAGGCATTAAATTACCGAAACCATATAAAATTCTCAAGTAAGAATCTTAAATGTTGAATGTTTTTAAACCTAAACTTGAAAGTACAACATGCAACAATCTGGAAAGAGATGATAAAAGTCCTCACAAATGTTTGAAGTCACTCAGTTTTGCAGTACCAGGTTTCATTGCTTATACCACAATTCAGTTAGAGTGCCCCTCAAGGCAATGATTGAGAGTATAATTTCTATTCTCACTGTTCTGTAAGTAGGCATATGCATCTGAGACCCAGATGATGCATGCTACATAGCAATAGCATTTCCAAAACAAATGTGCAACTAGATATGTGTCTGCACAGAGTATTCCCAATCTGGCAAGAAGAGCTCCAAAAGATATCAATCTTGCTGCACTGAGATGTGTGCCATTTCACAGGACCAGTGTATTGTCCAGCCAGCTCTAAGTATGTGAACTTAACCTAAGTGCTTTACTTGTGAAACTGCAGACTTCTTAAATCCTTAAAAATAGAGCACTTTGTGCATTCAGAATAATGGCAACAGTATACTTATGCTCACATCACCTCAGTACATTGAGGGGGACTAGGCTCTGAGCCATGAAGGCTCAGCTGAGAGCCCTGGAACAGGAGGGTCCTCACTTATACAGAAAACTCCAAGGACAGCAGAAGTTCTGCATTAGAGATGTGTGGAAGGAAAGAAGTTCCCAACACAAATACACTGTTGCTGGTTTCCTAACATGCTGTTAGGAAAACAAATCCTTGAAATTAATGCCATAATAAAATACTTTCCAAAACTATGCTATAAAAAATTATGTCTTCTAGAGAATAAAGTAATTACCACCACTCAGGTCTTAAAATTAGGGCATGTGCTTTTTTCAAGCCTAAACATGGATATTACTTTTTTAGAACAATCATCTCAATTGAATTCACTGAGGGTCTTACTTCAAAGTAAATATATTGATCTGTGCAGATGAAACTACAGTACCTCATAAGGAAAACGACAGGTCTTCATGTGGAAGTTTCCAATGTACCTTAATTTAAAAAAAAATACTGTGTGGAGCAGAAAAGGATTATGAATGATACAAAGAAGTTGTAGTTATACCGATTATGCCTTCAGAGCTTTCCTAAGATCAGAATAAAAATTAATCAGTGTACCAGCCATAGCTGTGTCTACTACTGATTGTGGGAGCATCCCACGCAGGTCCGTCTGGATGAAGCCAACTAAAAGACTATGTCTTGGATTCTCCGGGAGTGGAAAGCAGAACCAGCCACAGGGGTGGTTAAATCCTCGAACAAAACTTGGCCTTACTTCACCATAATCCAGGCTAATACCTATTTTAACAATAACAACAACAGCAATTATACCAGGAACTAGAGAAACACATTTATTTTTAAAATGGCTTTTTAACGGAATGAACAAAATTTTTAAAAATGCATAATAAAAAAGCATGTAAAACAAAATAAACAAACATAAAAGAAAGGGCCATGTAAATATATTAATTTTAGGCACACATGCACTCACATAAACATAATTTCAAGGAGACATTTTAAATATCGAAGTTCAGTATTTCTATTCAGAATGATATTTGTACAAATGAGAGTAAAATATTAGTTCAAAGGAAGTGACTATCCAAAACCCAGACTTTAACCATCACCTTATTCAGCCATATGAAATAAGGAAATCAGTAGCACGTGCAGAAGCATTTATGCATGCCTAAAGTTACTGACAGTGTTATGCCGATTATTTAATGATATTGTATGTATTTCAACCTTTTTCTGTTGATTAGCATAATCAAGAATAAAATAGTTTTTAAAAATGTCAAGTTGCTTCTGCTTTTGTCTGTCTTTGAGCCTTGACTTAAAAAGACTGTTTCTTTCCAGTGAATTAACAATCATAATGGTCAGGGATTTACACATTTCATTTGTCACAAGTGTACTAAATTCATCTTTCAGGTAGAAAAATGCTTTAACTGACTAGGTATTCTTTGACATAATCAATAAAATTCAGTCCCATGTCATCCTTTCCATGTGAATTTGCGATATAAACATCCCATAGATTCTTTTCACACAAGAAATATGCAGTCTAAAAACTCAACACAGTGTGAATACACTGTATGCAGAAACTGCATTTGCACATTTCAAATCATGCTGTAAAACTGAAAGGAATCATGTATACATGGGATATGCCTAGCCCCAACTGTAAGCAAAAGTGTCTTGAGCTTGGAACGAGAGTTGATCCTGTTTATCTGAAGAAATCCTACTCTTCATCACTCTTGCTTAAAATAAGCTGTTCAGTATTGTAAACAACCCAAAGCAAAACAGAGGGGATTTCAAAAATTTTAGACTGCTCTTACAAAGATGGATTAGAAGATAAAAGATGATTAATGAGAATTTACCACATGACAGCAGCCCATCTTCATAGTTGGTTGTGCAGGAGAAGTCAATGAACTCTCTTGGTGCAATGATGTTCAATATTTGACCAGCTGTGGTATAACGCATTACACAGCAATTCTGCAAAGTGATTATAAAATGGCACTTTATGGATGATTCATTTGTATTAAGCAAATGCTTGCATCCATATTAAAAGTCCTAGAGATAGTGGCAGGGTTCATATACTGCAGCGAGGTGTAATGGATTTCCTGGCTTAGGGCGTTAAATGAACCAAACTAATTGTAGCTTATTCAACAAACCGCAGCTAAGCAAACTTTTGTTTAGCATGATGTTTCAACCCAGTCTGTATGTGCATACAGTCTGTTTATGAAAATGCTATGCATATACAGGTGGTCCTTGGTTAACAACCACTCGTTCAGCAACTGTTCGAACTTACAATGGTGCTGAACAAATAGTACCTGTAGTTCTGGCCATCACAGTGCCCCTGCGGTCATATGATCATAATCCAGGCACTCGGCAACTAGCCCAGATTTCCAACCATCACAACATCCCACGGTCACATAATCACAATTTCCAACCTTCCCTGCCAGTTTCCCACAAGAAAAGTCAATGGGGAAGCCGAGAGGAAGTTGGAAGTTGCAGTCACATGAGGTCCTTGCTTAACAACCCATGGTGATTCACTAAACAACGGTAGCTGGGGACTGCCAGAACTGCCATCACTAAGTGGCATAGTCACATGACATCGTGTTTTACAGCCACATCACTTAGCAATGGAAATTCCAGTCCCAATTACCATTGGTAAGGGAGGACTACCTGTATTAACATTGTCCTAAGCCCAAAGAAATCTTTGCAGGATCCGGAAAATTATATTCAACCAGTGTTAAGTGCTGTACTGGGAGAAAACAGTTTGAGAGAAAAGGCTGTACCTGCCCTTTCTCTGGTAGAGATCTAAATTAGAGTGCCCTGCAACTATGACTTTTGAAAGAATTACATATTATGCCTTCCTCATTTCTTCGGATCTGGCCCAATAGAGTACCTTAGACCAGGAATAGGCAGATTTCAGATGGTTAACTAGCTCTACTGAGGTCCCCAACTCAATAGTAAGTAAGAATATCACTTACAGACCCCCCAAAAAGACAAAACTGATTGTTGAGAGACCAATTCTCCCTGATTACATCTGCCTGTCCCATTAGATCTGGCAGAGAAGGTTTGCTTCAGGTCCTGTCTGCTAGGGACTTACACTTGGTGGGTCCCAGGAGGCATGCCTTCTCTGCCGTAGTGCCCGCCTTATGGAACATTCTCGCCCCCCCAAACAAGGTTAGCTTCATCCCTGTTAATGCTCTGTAAGTCCCTCAAGACCTGGCTATGTCATCAGGCCTGGGGGTCACAGGAGACTGGTGACATTCTAAGATGGCTCCATCATTATGATTAATATTTACTCTGTCCTGTGCCTGGTGGTTTGTATTTTAATAATGACTGTTTTCTATTTTTAATGATGATTGTTTTTATATATTTATTGTTTTATTTAATTGTTGTAAGATGCCCAAAATCACTTTTTGTGAGATGGGCAACCATATAAATCTGATAAGTAGATAAGTAAATAAATAAATAAAGTATCTTACATTTGTAATCAAAACCCTGATACCTATGCCCTATAAATGGAAACCCTAAATGTGTGAGTGTGAGTGTGTGAAATATGGCCCGTGCATTACCTTTTCATACTTTTCAACAATGTCCATTGTGGTCATCAGGCTGTCCCAGCTGAGCCGATAAGGTCCAGGACGTATGTGATCTATTATTCTGTTGGTAACCTCTTCCACAAAACCTTGTGTTTTGTAGCTAGAGACCAGATTTAACAGAAGAGGGTTTAGAACTGTTAAAGCTTATAATTAGGATATTTGTAGAAGTCTTTAGAAAACCAACAAACCCCTGTACTAAAAGTGTAATTCTTCCAAATGTTTACGCACAGATCCTATTTAAAAGGGTGGAGCTACACATAAAAAAATAATGACAGATTCTAAGGAATCTGTTCCTTGGATTATAATATTGTGCCATGTACTTTAGTGCACTTACAGAGCAGCAAAACCAATCTGGATGTGTCTCTACCCGTCAACTGAAGAAAAACATACAGAACACTTGCTTCACACATGGTTAATTGATGAGCATTAGGATCCAATGATGTGGTCATGATATCCAAGTACATAATTGTAAGGAGCCATGGAAATGGTCTTGGAGAAGGTATCCAGAAGCCATTAAGACAATATGCAGAGGAAGCATGTGTTAAGCCCCGGGAGGCAGGAAAGTATTAGAAAAAAACTTAGACCAGCTCCCCCTGACTCCCTGGGGTATAAGAGGGAGGGAAGAGAATACACAGGCTGATTTGCAAGATTCAGTTACTACAGCTTATCTCAGTGTAGTTCTCGTCTTCCTAAGGGGTCGGTTTTCTGATCTGATACACCTCATTCTGCTAACAATAATGTACTGGGAGGTGCCCAATTTCTATTTTTGCTCTAATATGGCAAGATCTCCCCATTTATTTTTGTTAAGATAAACTAGATATGCATGCATGTGAGTTAACTTGTATAAATGCTTTTAATTAAAGCTCAACTTACAGGTACCCACTGAATTCTTCTGACGGCTTACGCCAAACAGTAATATCTTTCTGCAGAAAAGAAAATGAAGGGTTACACTATTGATATGTTATTAAAACATCTCAGCCACTCACATCTAAGAATGTGAAATATAATTAAGATGTTTAAAAAGTGTATTTCAGACTACAGGGACCTTAGAAGGAATTTCTCATATATGTACAAACCTTAAAAGCTTCCTGAGTACAAAAGCATTACTTTAAAAAATAAAAAGATTACATATTATTATTATTATTTTGCATATCCATCCTCATTCACTATCAATTCAAAACACACACATATCAAAGAAAAGTTAAATTAATTTACAAAAGCATTTTTCATCAACTCTGGCTATAGGACATATCAGCAATTAAAACATCATAGTCTCACATTTCAACAACACATCCGTGCACTACCCATAAATTGGTAGGTTTAGAGGCATTAATTCAATGTGTGTTGATAAAATAATGTCTTTAAACTGATCCAATTTAAAAACTAAATACATTTTAAACATTTTTAAGAACATTGCAGACCAGGAAAATGAATAGCATGTTTATGTGAGAGCAGTATCACCAATAAATTATCACAATCAGATGATAGCAACACATCTTTTCCAAAGGTTTGGTTGGTCCCTTCTACTTCGTAGAAAACTAGGAATCACCATATTGTGTTCTATTTTTGAAAAACTATCACACCAAATACTGTCACCAAACACAACATGATATAATATAAATCTCTACACTGGGGTGTCACCAAAAATAAGAAAATCTGCTCAGTAACTTACTGTTTTCCTAGCAACTCTCCATTCATTATCCTCAATGTTATAGTACTGAATGACTGTATTTTTTAGCTTTGTAGCCAAAGAATCTACATCAGAGACATCTGCCATTCTTTTCTGTTACCTACAGGAAAAAAAAAAGAATGTAAAAAAATAAAATCACTAGTGATTTATTTCTTTTCCTGTTTGACATTAACATCAAGATAAAATGATCAGCTTAACTTGTCTCCAAGCTGCAGAACAATATGATTATTTTAAAGATCTAAACCAAGCAGAAGCACTTCCTTAACAAAATACCCCACAGTTCTAACAATGACAGTTGAATAACTGCCAAAATACAATGCAAATATTGCCATCCTCAATCTGGAGAAAGGCGTTGACTATCTGTAATAATGAAGTGTTTCCTATAAGATGTGATGTATTAATCTAGAAAAGGTTCTCCAGGTTCACAGAGATCAACCGTGGATTCTAAAATGTAAGTGCTATGATTTCCACAACCATTCTTAAATTCAGTGTAACAGTGAGCAATAACCAAACAGCCAGAGGAGGAAGTATCTGGCTCACATCAACAGAATCTTCCAGTGATTTAGGACAATTAGCTAAAAATAGCCAAAAAGCCCACAAGGATACAAAGTATCAAGGAAAAAAATGACAAAAATTACACATTTACAAGCCATTATGATAGTCTGCTTGAAAGCCACTGTGATGGAGCAGCTACAGGGGGAAACATAGAAAGATTTTCAATTTTCCACTCAGCCACGAAGAGCACTGGGTAAACCTAGCCCAGTGTTGTCCAAACTTGGCCACTGTAAGATGAGTGAACTTCAACTCCCAGAATTCCCCAGCCAGCCATCTTAAAGTGGCCAAGTTTGGACAACACTGACCTAGCTAGCAGTCACTGCCACCCTCACTTATGACACAAGAGTTGAACTGTGTTTGTTTATATCAACCTGGATTCAATTCTGACCTGGAGCAAAAATAACAAAAAAGAAAACATATTGCGAGGGCCAGATAGGTTCCACTTCTGTAAATAGCAACTTCCTTATATCCCCGAATTCTGGGAGTTGAAGTTCACTCATCTTACAGTGGCCAAGTTTGGACAACACTGACCTAGCTAGCAGTCACTGCCACCCTCACTTATGACACAAGAGTTGAACTGTGTTTGTTTATATCAACCTGGATTCAATTCTGACCTGGAGCAACAATAACAAAAAAGAAAACATATTGCGAGGGCCAGATAGGTTCCACTTCTGTAAATAGCAACTTCCTTATATCCCTCACTTGCCAAATGTGCCTCCTCTTCCAATGGGGAGAGGGGATGTCACTGTTTGCCTTCATGCAGGTCCAACGCTGCCTGACGTTTAAGCCCAACTATCCTGAAATTTGCACGGACTAAAAACGGTCACGGCCGATCAGGTTCCCTACCTACTGGCGCGATCCCACTGCCCGACGTTTATGTAAACCCGGTGAGAAAGGCTCCGCAGGTGATGTAACGCTCATGTGTCGAAACCTCGGGAGACAGGTGAGGTTGGTGCCTCAAGCAAAGAGCATCCTTCTCTGATGTTTCCTGCAATCTCCTCCTACTTACCGGGGCGAAGCAGAGAAAGGGTAACTCCGCAAAGGCTGGACTCTGCGAGGGGTCTTTCCAATGCAGCGAATGGGAGCCTCCCGGTCACGAACGGCTCCCCGCGACTAAGACGTCGCCTTTCCCAGGCTAGTTTCTAATCTCCTCACCCGGTCGAGCGAGTCATTCACCTAGCCAATCAGAACCCAGGTGGCACCTCCATCGCAACCAATAGCAGCAAGTCTATCTTTCTTCCCACCCTTTGTTTTGAGCCTACTCGCATCTCGGTACAGGCGATCTACGTTCATTGGCTGTTAATTGAGGACGGCGGGATGGTGCGTGGTGACTGGCCAATATGAAGATGGAATGACAGGAGGAGGAAAGAAACGAGCTGTAAACTGTTACGTTGCTGTTGAGGGAGGGGATTCCTTTGTTCTCTAGCCAATGTGAGGCAGAAGCTCTGGTGTCACTCAGCCAGTGTTGTATGGTGACCAAGTATGTAGGGGTGTGTGTGTGTATTCATATTCCAAGGTGGACCCAGGTCATGAAGAACTAGAACACATTTCCAGATCACATTCCCTTTGGAAAGTAAAAAAAAAAAAAAAAGATCCTAAATTGAAATTGCCCCAGTATTGAGAAGAGAAACCTGTGCAGAAGTTGCTGAACTTCCAGCTCCTACCATCCTTCATTACTAGCCATTGTCCCTGCCTTTGTGGAGATAGTCTCATATGATCTGACCAGCCTTAATTATTTGCTAACTGATTCCCAGTGTTTCTGTATTTTAGAAGTGATGTATCTGTAACTTAGGAAGGAGGGCAAGCAATTCATGCTATTGCCTATTCATTAGACAGTTGGCCCCTTCAAAATATTTTCTCACACTCCCACTGCCAGTACCGATAATGCATTTTGTTAGCCTTCCAGGATATCAGCAAGAGTTAGAGCACCATCATGAGTTCAGTCCAACAAGGTTTGAATTATGCTTATACTGTATCCATGATGAGGAAAGGCTTACGCACAGGAGGGCCTCAGGGAGCATTGTCAGTAATTGATGGTGTCACCAGAGAGCAGGGCCAGAATTTCCCTTTGGGTAGCCTACCTATTATTCCTTTGTTCCTTGAATCCTAATTCTTTTCTTTAAGCCTAAGAGCCATCTCTCTTTTTCAGACTTTCACTTCTACTTTAAGGTTCTTTTTGATGTCAATTTGTGTCTTGAGGATAGTACTCTGGTAACACACCTCAGATGGCCTAGGTTCCTTAGGATGACTATCAAGATACTGGGCTTAAACTGCCTTTGTGGTTTTTCAGATGAAAGAGAAAAGCAGTTTCCTTTTTTTGGTCTCGCTCCTATATCCCTGTTTAAGGTGTAAGGTTTGCAATCCCTGAATCCCAGAGAAATCCAATGCCAAGAATTCAGGAGGAGGCTCTGAAAAGAAACAGCTTTTTATTTGGCCGAGTAAAGGAAGCTGGGTGATCAATAACCCAATGCATAGGCAGCAACTATGCCAGGGTTTTGCCACACCACCGGAAATGCAAGCTGAGTTTTTATAGTTTGCAGGGACGAAGCAGTTTGAACAGCAGTTTGAACCGGTTTAGCTGTAGACCTTTTCCTGGAGACCCTTCAAGGTACACAAGGCAGGTCGAACCAGTTTAACTGTAGACCCTTTCCTGAATACCCTCAAGGTATCCTGTCTCTTTCTAGCGAGGCTGCAAAGATACCCCCCCCCCCTTCAAAGGGAAGGAAAAGATGTTGGTGGCAGCAAATACCAATGAAAGCAATAACTGCAGAATAACCCCAGGCTGTCCTAGTTGGGTGTGATAGACCTGGTGGTGAGTGAGACTCTTACAGCATATTGAAAGTGAGTGACATAACTCAAATGATAGAAATTAATGGCATGTCAAATCACAAACTCATCACTCAAGCCAATGTAGGTAAATTCCATTCATCTCAATAGGATTTATTTTCACAGAGATATGTATAGGACTGTAGTGCAATCATATATCTCTTGTTGGAGAAATACCCTGAGAAAAACCCTCAGTGCCCTTCTCCCTTCTCTGCCACCTGGGTAATGAGATTTGGGTCCGTTCCTCTACTCAGGCAGGACATGGATTAAAGTCCCCAGAACTTTATTAAGAGTGTGCAGAGTCTTCATCAGGACACTTTAAGTAACATTCCCAGGTGAAACATCCCAAATACACATACAAGCAAGTTTATATAGTCAATTCACATAAGCATTTCAAATGTGCCATCACACTGGCTAATTCAGAATTGGTTATTTACACAATAAATACCCCCAAAGTTTACCTTTGCTCATGCACATAATAATGGCATTTCCATAGCAACCTACAATAGGCTTGCCCCATTAGCATAATCAGAAATAAGCAAGTTACTGTTGTATTAATATCAGTGGGATTTACTCCCAGATTACTGTGCCCAGGACTGGTGAACTGGTGATCCTAAACTTATTAAAATGTTATGTGTGATTATATGTTTGAGCAGCCAATACTGCAAGTATACTTACAAATTAATAAAATAAAATATTAAATTATTCTCTACCCATAAACTCCTCTGAAGCACATTTGATCCTTTCACTGGGTAGTATGAGGAAATGGTAGACTTTGAATGATCCACTTAAGAGAGTTCACTTGAATTAGTTTGTCTCAATCTACTGTTTCCTCCCCAGTTCCTGTAAACCCAACAGTTCGAAAACTCATGTGAGTAGATAAATG